GACAGACTCAGTTCAGAGCAAGGATGGACAGCCCCTCACCTGCCTTCCTCTCTCCAGGACAGCTCCCCTCCACACCCTCCCTCTCAGTGCAGCCAGGACCCATGGTGGCCTCAGGGGAGAATGTGACCCTGCTGTGTCAGTCCTGGAGCTCTGTGGACACTTTCCTTCTGTCCAAGGAGGAGGCACCCGATCCCCCCCCTGCGTCTTAGATCAGAGTACCGAGATGGGCATTACCAGGCCAAATTCTCCATGAATCCTGTGACCTCAGCCCAGGGGGGGACCTACAGGTGCTACGGCTCATACAGCACCTCCCCCTACCTGTTGTCACACCCCAGTAACCCTGGAGCTCCAGGTCTCAGGTGAAGGGTCCCCAACCCTGTCCTTACTGACTCCATCAGCTCAGGGCCCAACCCTCAGGAAAACCTGACAGTGACAAATAAAGGGTTCAGGGGACTCCGTAGAGTAGGGTCCAGCCCAGGAGAGGTTGGAAAGAGCAGGGATCTCCACCCAGGCTCCCCCATCCTTCAGTCTCAGCAGAGATGAGAGGTAGGGTGTGGGTGAGGGGTGGGTGAAGGATCCTGAGTAGACAGAGGCCTCCTACTCTCTTCCTGATGCCTCCATACCAGAATCTGAACTGTGGTGTCAGGCCCCATGGACTCTCCCCTAGAGGGAAGTCTCTATACCTGTGGGCTCTGCTCTGCTGCCCCCTGTGCTTACCTGGGGGCCTCACTGCCACTGGGTGCACACCTGATACCAGGTTCAAAGCTTTTCAACCTTATTCGTGAAAATGGTGTCAATTCATAGCTTGTTTTAAGAATTGGTTAACTACTTTAATACCACAAAGTAAGTTGTCTGAATAATAGTTAAGTATGCCTAAGGGAGCTATTGGTTTGGGCATATTTTTATGTGCCGTTAACTCACTATGCACTCTCTGACTTCCCATTGCTGTTTTTTTTTTCCTAATTAATTTATTTATTGGGGCACCTGGGTGGCTGAATCAGTTGAGTGTCCAAATTCAGCACAGGTCATGATCTCGTGGTTCGTGGGTGTGAGCCCCACATTGGGCTCTGAGCTGATGGCTCAGAGCCTGGAACGTGCTCTGGATTCTGTCTCTCCCCCTCTCTCTGCCCCTCCCCTGCTTGCACTCTGTCTCTCCTTCTGTCTCAAAAATAAATAAACATTAAAAATATTTTTTAATTCAAGTTAGTTAACACACTACGTAGTATTGGCTCAGTAGCAGAACCCAGTGATGTATCACTTAAAATCATTCTCTATTTTTATCTTATTTTCCTTCCCTTCCCCTATGTTCATCTGTTGTCTGTCTTAAGTTTCACATGTGAGTGAAATTATATGATATTTGTTTTTCTCTGACTGACTTATTTAGCCTTAGCATAATACACTCTAGCTCCATCCACATTGTTGCAAATGGCAAGATTTTATTCTTTCCCATCACAGAGTAGTATTCCATGTGTGTGTGTGCGTGTGTGTGTGTGTGTGTGTATGTATGTATCCTACACACACACATACACACCACATCTTCTTTATCCATTCATCAGAAAATGGACATTGGGCTTTTTGCATAATTTGGCTATTGTTGATAGTGCTGCTATAAACCTTGGAGTGCATGTGCCCCTTTGAATCAACATTTTTCTATTCTTTGGATAACACCTACAATTACAATTTCTGGGTCTAACATACTTCTATTTTTAGTTTTTTGAGGACCCTCCATACTGTTTTCCAGAGTGGGTACAACAGTTTGCATTCCCACCAGCAGTGTAAAGGGTTCCCCCTTCTCCCCATCCTGGCCAACATCTGTTGTTTCCTGAGGTGTTAACATTAGCAATTCTGACAGGTGTGAGGTGGTTATCATTCTGGTTTTGATTTATATTTCTCTGAAATGAGAGATGTTGAGGATCTTTTCATGTGTCTGTTAGCCATCTGGATGTCTTCTTTGGAAAATTGCCTATTCATGGTTTCTGCCCATTTCTTCACTGGATTATTTGGTTTCGTGGGATTGAGTGTGATGCGTTCTTTATAGATTTTAGATACTATTCTTTATCTGATATATCATTTGAAAATACTTCTCCCAGTCCATTGGTTGCCTTTTAGTTTTGTTGACTGCTTCCTTCATTGTGCAGAAGCTTTTCATCTTGATGAGGTCCTTACAGTTCATTTTTGCTTTCGTTTCCCTTGCCTCCAGACATGTCTAGTAAGAAGTTGCTGTGGCGAAGGTCAAAGAGGCTACTTCCTGTGTTTTCCTCTGGGATTTTGATGGTTTCCTGTCTTATCTTTAGGTCTTTTATTCATTTTGAATTTATTTATCTGTATGGTGTAAGAAAGTGGTCCAGTTTCATTCTTCTGCATGTAGCTGTCCAGTTTTCCCAGCACCATTTGCTGAAAAGACTGTCTCTTTTGCATTGGATACTCTTTCCTATATTGTTGAAGATTAGTTGGCCATAAATGTGTCAGTCCATTACTGGGTTCAACTGATCTATGTGTCTGTTTCTGTGCCAGTACCATACTGTCTTGTTGATTATAGCTTTGTAGTACAACTAGAAGTCCAGAATTGTGATGCCTCCTGCTTTGGTTTCTTTTTCAACATTACTTTCAGTATTTGGGGTCTGTAATTTTTGTCTCTCTCTTTTTTTTTTTTTTTTTGCTATTTTGATTTTCATATTAAAATGAGGTAATAGCTTTTCATGATTTCCTTGTCTTTGTGTTCACTCGATATTATAATTCCACTGAACTTCTCTGTTCCTTGAAGTTGAAAACCATACATAGGGACTTCCTCAGTTTGACCCTGTGAGATAGTGGGAGCAAAGTTTGTCTTTGACAATGTAAGTAAAATGATTAGCTATCCTTACTGGAAACATCACCAGATTTCTAGAGTTTGTCCCAAAACACCAAGATGATGATGGAGCCTCCCATTATGGGCATGCCTCCCTGAATTGTCTCCATTCACCAAGCCTGAGACCAGGTGTTCCTGTCATCTTCCTGCCCCCAGGCCACAGTCATGACTGAAGTTCTGTTGAGGAACAGACAGACCACACCTCTCTGTCTCTCCCTTTCTCTAGACAGGAAGATCTATATATCCATACAAATACCCGTGATTATGTATTCATTTATCTATAATATTTCTGTTAATATAAATATATATGGTTATATATGTATATACAAATGATCTATGAATATATAACACATACATCTATATCTATATCTATATCTATATCTATATCTACATACATACAGATATTCATCTTCATGGCCATGCTCTTCATTCAATAGCTTTTCACAATAGGATCTCCCTGCCTAGACCCACACACAAGCAAGGAATAATGGTGTTTATGTGACCCAGTAAATGAACATCACCTTTAACAAATACATACTAATGTGTTTTGTATAGATGTGTGCACCTATCTATGTGTATATCTACCAACCAGTGTGGGCATTTCTAATTATATGAAAAATGAATTAATGAAAGCACACGAGGATGTAAAGTTCCAGGTACAGATTAAAATGCAGTTCCAGAAAGATGGGAGCTGGCTGAGATGGAGGGAAGGAGACCCTGCCCCGGAATATCCGGTCCCTCTGTGCTCCTAACCTTCAGGAGCCCCTGATACCAACCCCTCATCCATGGATGCTGGATCCTTGGCTGTTGAATAAATGGGAACTCTCAGCTGTGGGGACACGAGCACATGGGGGTTTGTATCCCAGACTGAACAGGGGACATATAAGGACACAATTATTTCTGTGTTGGGAGGATATTTTTCTCCCCAACCCTGAGCTCCTAGGGCACAGGTAGCATCTACTCCAGAGTGACTCATAAGCAAAGTCTGAATTCAAAGAAGACGTGGAGATGGAAGAAATCCAATGAGTATGCCAAAGGAAACCCCATTACTGCAGAGAAGGGGTTGTTCAGGAACTGTATAAAAACTATGTAATGAGGAAATGAGGGATATAGAACACAGAGTCAGAAGACAGGCTGGACAGTGGTCTCAGGCTCCTGAGCATCTGCCTCTATTTTCCCCACAGTAGCAGCTGACACCATCAGCCCACCCCAAAACAAGTCAGACCCCCACATTGGTGAGTAGAAGAAAATCTCAGTTTTGGGACTGGCATGGAGGGTAAAGTCCTATCAAGGGGAGGTGGGTGACTTTGGTGGGCATCCAGGATCCGGGGTGATTTGGCTCTCCCCTGACCTCTGTAACCTCTTGGTCCTCATTCCTAGCCTCCAACTCCAGAGATTACACGCTGGAGAATCTCATCCGCATGGGTGTGGCAGGCTTGGTCCTGGTGGTCCTCGGGATTCTGCTATTTCAGCCTCGACACAGCCACAGAAGAACCCCAGATGCAACCAGGAGACAAACACAATGAGAAAATGGAGGCAACCCACCATTCTGTGTGGCAGAGCTCTGGGAATGAACCTAATGGTCCAGGGGGTTCTGGAAGAAAATCTGCAGCTTTGCCGGCAGAACTGTCTGCTGAGAAACTGCCTGGGCTGTTGCCTGGCCAGGACTCTTCGTCCATGAACTGTGGTACTTTCCCTCCTGCCATTGATGGATTCCCTTCACTGCCACCCTATCTTTTTTCATCCCTGTGACAGGAGGGTACATCTCACACTGGTTTAGGTTCATACCTTCCTACAGTGTCATGTTCTGGTCCACTTTACTGGGATACATTTTCCTTTATTTTCAATTTTCACATTCCCTAATGTGTGCTGTCTACTTCCATTCCTTCAGCACCAACCAAAATATCTGTTTTAATAAGCGAGTAAGTGGGTGAAAATCAGATCCACTTTGTGACAGAGAAATCCAAAACCAATGCCTTAACTCCCTCTGGACTCATAAAGCTCTTTGCTCCTCATCCAATGATTCCTGGGGTATTTTCCAGAAATACCCGCAGTTGGACTGAGCACAGGGTTGTCTGAAGTGACAGCCTGGTGTTGTGCCGCTACACTGGTTCACGAAATAATCATTTTTTAGAAAGCTGCTTCCCATGGCGTTTGTCCATTTCTTCGGTGTAAACACGCCCTTCATGGCCAACATCAAGATGTCATGTGAATGCACTGTGTGCCCAGCATGGACACAGTCATCTTTCACAGGTGAGTGTGATCCAGCTGTGGGACACCTCACTGGTAACCCCAGCATGTACGTATGCTTTCTTCTATTTGTAAGATCCTTGGATTTACTACCTCAGTGTAATGCCACAGTTTCAGTGAATTGTAATCTCCATTCCTAGTACATTCACATGAGAGGCAAGAGAACACAATTGCAAAATCGATTGTAGGAGAAAATACTGTGTACTTAGAATTCCAATACATTACTGGTAGGAGTATAAATTGTTCCATTCAATTTGGGGAGTAGATCAGATTCACCTGGTCAAAGGAAGAGACACAGCTCTGTCCCACAACTCTATGCCCTAGAGGAAACCGTGTGCATATGCATGCTGATATATGCATGAGAATATTGACAAGGGTGTCATTTAGTGTAGATAAAACCATACAAACAAATCAACAGTTTCAAACACCACATTAAATAAATGAAAGAAAACATCAAGAAGCCTGTATGTAGGATTATTCCATCACATACTTAATGTCAAGAAGAGACCACAGTTATTATTTAAGCAGGCATGACTAACTTCAGCCCTATAAAGAATGGAAGGAAAAGCTTCCTATGCAACCCATTATGGTGGTAACCATATAAATGCCTGAGCTTCATATAGGTCTGTCCTTAAGATTCTGCCTGTTCCACCTCACTACCTCCCCCTCTGACCTATCCAAGCACTTTCCTGAGCAGCTGGCTCAGCTGGACCATCACTCCCAGCTGATTTGTGGACTGTCTTTCCCTCAGTCTCAGTAATTTTAGGGTAGGCAGCTGTGTTCAGGGATGCTGGCATATGGGGACAGGGTCTCTGCACTCCATTCCCAGCAGAAACTTACTGGAGGCTTGACCTTGAAAACAGAGGCAGATTCCCTCAGCCTTAGTGTTGTCATGAAAAGTGGAAATGATATTTTGGTGGTGGAGAGTTTCTGACACAAGGAAATCTCCGATGACAGGCTTTTGAAATAATTTATGCTCCACAGACAGTAGTCCTTCCTTTATTGACCTTCCTTGTGGAGAAGAGAAAAAAATTAGGGCCCCTTGAAGAGAGGCTCCCATTCCTTCCTGGGCTTTCCTTGCAGCAGGGTCCCAGATGTGCTGGTCCCTTTCTATGGCAGTTATCATGTGACCCTCCACACCTATGGAAAGAGGGATGCTCTGAGCTCCAGAATAACCAGGTTCTCTGAGGTCCCAGAACAAGACAGTAGACCCCAATCAATAACTGTGGGCATTGTAAATGCCGTGAACAAAACAGCTCTGGGAGACTGTAGAGTCCACTTAGGAAGTTTTAGTGACACAGCAGAACAGAAAGACTGAGAATAGTCTTATAAGAAAGGAAGGACAATATCGTCATCAAATTTAGTTGCTTTGATTCAGTGAGCCACAATAGTTGGAAACAAGGATTATCAGAAAATTTTGGGATGATATCTATGTTTCTGAAAAAGGAAGAGTTCAGCAGGCTGATGAACAATATCTAAGTTGTCCAGCTACAGAAACAGCAAGATACCAGATTATTTTTCAGACTTTTTTTGTGATATTTTAAAGATTCAATAAAAGCTGTACTGATGAGAGGAAAAAAAGAAAATAATTTCATTTACAATGACATAAAAATAATAAAATAGTTGGGAATAAATTTAACCCAAAAGGTGAAAGAGCTGCACTCTGGAAACTGTGAGACTTTGATGAAAAAAAATGAAGATGAAAACACATGGAAAGATATCCCATGTTCATGGACTGGAAGAATATTATTGTTCAGATGCCTATATATCACCCATATTACCCAGATGTCCATGTTAGCCAGATGTCTATAATAATGAGAATGGATAAATACATGTTGATATATTTATGCAAGAAATCTTATATTGCAATCCAATGAAATAGAGCTAAAAAAAATCATTATGTGTATATCATAGCAATATAAACTGAAGTACAAAAAAGATAGATGCGATGCTGGTAATTTAAAAAATTTGAAAGAATTATGTATTTGGGTGCATATAGGTATGTATGTGTGTGAAAATATATATGTTTACATTTATTACAATTACATATTTTACAAAGAGAGATAAGTGCCTTAAAACCATATTCAAAATTACATATTTTACAAGGAGAGGTAAGTGCCTTAAAACTGTATTTCCAACAAATATCAAGATATGAAGTTAAAGGAGGATAGGGGATAAGGGAAAATATGTAGATGGATTAGGTTATGTGGTCATTGCAACCTTCTTGTTTTAAGTTGGAGAGTGTTGCTGTTTTGGGTTTTTGATCATAAAATGTTTTAGGGTGAGTTTTTTGACACTCTTAATTGGCTATTAGAAAGTGAATTTCCTATAGCATCATGTTAATGGATATTTATATATTTATATAAAATTTACAGAGAGATACAGATAGATGAATCTCTGAGTTTGGATTTCTGGGTCATAAGATGAATTTCAGATAAAACCATAAGATCCAGAATTTACATGCATTATTCTTTGCTAATAAAGTGAAACTCTATGACTCTAAATAACTGCATATTCCTTCTACAGGGAAATTAAATAATTTTTGACAAGTATTAGCTCAATACTAAAACTATCAGTTTAGAACATCGTTTTGATTTATACAGTGTAATTCTTTTTTTAATTTTTTTTTATTTTAATGTTTATTTATTTTTGGGACAGAGTGAGAGACAGAGTGCAAGCAGGGGAGGGACAGACAGAGGGAGACACAGAATCTGAAGCAGGTTCCAGGCTCTGAGCTGTCAGCACAGAGCCTGACGCGGAGCTAGAGCTCACGAACCGTGAGATCATGAGCCAAAGTCGGACACTTAACCGACTGAGCCACCCAGGGGCCCTAATTCTTTTTATGATACTATCTACTACAAATGTTGCACATTACATATGAAGGTTTTGCAGCTTAGATTTTTTTTAAAAAACTGTCATTTCATCATTCTGAGTATGAGGGATTGTGTCTGTGTTTCAAGTCTGACCACAGTAAATGATGCGACACAACAGCTCTGAACAATTTCCAGGAAGCCTGGCTTTATCCTAAGCTAACCACCCCACCCCCTCCCACCCACCCACCCACCCCCCGCCCTGCACCACCCATAGGCAAAGCAAAAAGAGCCTGTATGCATCACCTTTCCTTATTGCAGTCAACTTATAAACATGAGCTGGGCCCCATTTCATGGCATCCTGTGTACTTCTCAACTTTGCTGGGTCACCGCTCAGCAGAAGCAGCGCCATACCACCCATAGTCATCAGCCTGGCATGTCTTGGTGAGTCCTGGAAGGGGAGGAAGGGAGGGGACGCTATGGTGGAACTATTGGCCTGGAAGGCTGGGCATCCCCACAGCAGACTGCTCCCTTGGAGGCAAGGTGGACCTTGATGGTAAGGCTCAGGCCAGGCAGGGGAAAGAGTGGGAGGCCAAGTCTTCTATGGAGATGGACCACCTATCATGAGTCTTTCTTTCCAGAGTTCTTCATCCAAAGGATCTGGGCACAAGTGGGTGAGTCTTTTCCTCCAAAACTTGGGTTGCCATGCACTCAGGATAAGAGTATCCCTATAACAGGAGGGCAGATGGCACAGGAGGCTGGGTGATGGGTTGACTGCAGGAGGCCTTATGGAAGAATCTCTTGTGAAATAGAAAGTGGGGGCCCAGGGAAACCTTAGTCTTAGTTCTGGTCCAGAGACCCTTCCTAGACTCTCTTCCTTGGCTGAGCCATGCTCTAAAGCCATCTGGAAGACATTGCTGCTCAGAGCTGAGATGTCTGGGAGAAGCCATCTGTAGAGCAGGGGATGCAAAAGGTGACAGGAACAACAGAATGAGGACAAGACAGCCACTAAAGCTCCTCAGCACGCCCATGAGAGTAGGAGCCCCATGCTGCTGCTGACATTATTCCATGGCAGAGGTACAAAATCCACATGCCAGAACCCCTGGAATTCCAGCATGTTCTTACATGGCTCTGTCGTGTAACATGCCTCATGTGTTCATTGACGTGGCATTCACATAGGTCATTACTCTCCTCTTCAGTGTCTACTTTGTCTTCTTTTATGTAACAAACTTCACACTATCAACACCTACTAAGAGCCCACTATTCAGTGCTCACTCAGAATTCTCGGTCAACAGGTTACTTGTAAGAGATGCCGTGTCTCTGTGGTGTGGGGTCTTTTTGTGGCATGGGCACCCTTGGATTGGAAAGGAGCCTTAGAGACATGGAAGGAGGGGGAGCCTCTGAGCTTAGGGAGAGGAGACCAATGCTGTGCTTCCTTCTCCCCCAGGTGGTCCTCCTGTGCTGTGCTCCTCTCTGTCTGCCTGGCCAAGCCCAGTGGTTCCTCAAGGACAATGTGTGACTCTTCCGTGTCACTCTCATTGCAGGTTTGGCATGTTCAGACTGTACAAGGTCACTGGTGCCCTCATTCCTGAACTCCACAGCATAATGTTGCAGGACAGCTTCCTCACTGGCCCTGTAACCCCAGCACATGCAGGAACTTACAGATGTCGTGGATCCTACCTTGGCTCCTCCTCTGTGTGGTCACCACCCAGTGACCCCCTGTTGATTGTGGTCACAGGTCAGAGAGTGCTTCTCTGGAGGAACTATTTCCTGACCTGATCTTCCTAATCTCAGAGTTTCCTGGTGGGAGTGTCAGTCAGGTCCAATTATAACAATAGGGGCTGCTCCAAGGGCATTTAATGTATGTGGGCAGAATAATGGCCCCCAATGATGTCTACACCATAATACTCCAAATCTATGAATAGTTCAAGGCCAATTAAGGTTGAATATGGAATGAAGGTCATTAAGCAGATGACCTGGAGATGGAGAGATTATCCTGGATTATCCAGGCGGACTTACTGTAATTATAAGGGTAGAAGGAAGCAGGAGAATGAGCTTCAGAGTCACGCAGCATGAAAAGACTCCACCAGCCATTGCTAGCTCTGACGTTGGAGGAAGGGGTCATAAGACAAAGAATACAGGCAGCTCCTAGGAGCTGGAAAAGACACAGGAGCAGATTCTCTCCTTGAGCCTTCAGAAGGAAACAGTCCTGTCCACGCTGTCCTTGATCCCAGCCCATAAGACCCATGTTGGACTTCTGACATCCAGAACTATAAGACAACAGATTGGTGCTCTTTTGAGCCATTATGTTTGTAGCAATTTATTACAGCAACAACAGGTAACCAATAAAGATACCTAGGTGAGGAACAAATTAGGAAGCCAAACAGGGAAAGTGAAGCTACTCCCAGCGATAGGTAAGGGCAGGATGTTGATGCCACCACTAGACTGCAGTGACATAATGGGGGGAGTGTTCCCAAAGCCAGACTCAGGGGTGCCCTGTGGAAGCTGGGGCCTTGGAGAAGTCACAGACATGGCAGAAGATGTGCCCATCCCCACTAGGCACACGCTTGGTAGGCACTGGGAGTTACTGTGGTACCTGCTTTACTGCTTAATTCCTGTCCCCTACCAGGGATTCCAACTCGTCAAACAGAGCAGGAACTGGTCTGATAAAAGAGCCTGGAAATGCGGCCTGCAGTGTCATTCTCCCACCCCCATCATACAAAGCAGAAAAGGGGTCTGTGGGACACAGGGGCAACAGTTAATGTGTCAAGGATGAGAACAGTGGTAATGGAATCTGGTGCTGTTTCTTCTGATGGAGAAACAGAGCAAAGGAGGGGCAGAGACAGAGGGGGACATGCAGACAGAAAAAGACACAGAGACACAAAGAAGGAGGCAAAAGACAGACACAGGGGCACCCTCACTCATTTAGGGTCCCAGGGAATGGGGTGAGGCAGGGTCGCTCTTTGTAAACTTACAATGTCCATGTTCTTAGGGGTCTACAGAAAACCTTCCCTCTCAGCTCAGCCAGGTCCCCTGGTGAAATCAGAAGGGAACATGACCTTGCATTGTCGCTCAGAGATCCAGTTTGAAAGCTTCGTTCTTCACAGTGAGGAGCTATCCAAGGCCCCTTGGCACCTTCCTGGGCAGCCCCATCGTGAGGGTTCCCATGCTAACTTCATCATGGGTCCTGTGACAGCTGCCCATGCAGGGACCTACAGGTGCTTCGGTTTTCTGAATCACTCCTTCTATGAGTGGTCTACCCCCAGCGACCTCCTGGACATCATGATCACAGGTGAGAATGTCCTGCTCCCATCCTCTTTGGGATACAGACAGGGTGTTCTAAGACTTGGAAGCCCCGGGTGGTGATGAGGGACACGCACATGGGTTTTTATGCAGAGAGATAGCCTTGGCAAGAGCTACACCTAGAGAGACAATGACAGAAGGGTGACAGTACAAACCATTAGTTATAACATAAAGGACAGATAAGGGGCAGAAATAGGGAGTCAGTAGTGGAGACAAAGAGTGAAGGAAGGGACACAGATGGGTACATTCACATCAGAGACAGGTGCCCTTCCACTCTGACTTTGTTCAGAAACCTGGGACAGTTTAGAACGTGGTTTCCAGTTAATCTCCACACCCTCTTCTCTACCAGGAGAACCTAAAGACACACCACGTATATGACCAAGTTTTGAGGCCAGGTTGGCCTTTCTCAGGCTGATTCCCCATGGGCCCTGGGTCCTCTCCTCATGTGGCACCCACAGGTGTGGTATTCCCTCCTACATGACTTCATCCCATGTAGTTGAACCACAATGTGACCCTGGATACTATGGTCCCAGGTGGAGGAGACAGTCACTAGCTCCTATATGTGGTATGTTTTATGGGTTCCCAAAGCTGTTTCTTGGGCCAATGTTCAAGGTTGCTTGAGATGCTACAGGATTACTGAGGTCAAAGCCCACAGAAAGATGCAATCAGAGAGAAAGCAGAGTCAATGTACATCAATGGCCATATAAAGTCTTTCATGTAAAGAGACACAGAAATGCAATGTGTACATGTGCACACACACACACACAGACAGACAGAATGGAGGGGAGACAGAGACAGACAGACAGATTGATAGACACTGGTTCAGTGACACATAAAACAGAAGAAAGAAAAAGGGATAGAGAAGTAGACATAAAGATGGAGGGGACAGATAAAAGCCCTAAAAGACAGAGACCTGAGCGGGAGCACAAAGATAGAGAAAGACGATAATGTGGGGTAGATAACAGAGATCCCAAAAGAGAACTAGGGATATAGAAGCATAGAAAGTCACCAAGACGGTGGTAATAGAGACAGGTAGATAGATGATAGATAGATAGATAGATAGATAGATAGATGATAGAAAGATAGATAGATAGATAGATAGATGATAGATAATAGATAATAAACAGATGGTAGATAGAAGATAGGTAGATAGATAGATAGATAGATAGATAATGCAGAAAGAGACAAGATGAAATAAGAGACTCATGAAAGAAAAAGACAGATCAAACCGACAGATCCCACAGAGGCAGAGAGAGTAAACCAACACAAAAAGGGGAAAGATGGAGGAAGGCAAGAACAGAAAATAGAGAGATGGACACGAGGGGACAAAGTGGACATTAGGCTCTGGGAACAGGGAAAGAGAATTCTCAGTCCAGGTGTGAAGTACACTGTGAGCAAGGGAAAGCCTCTCTAACTGAACTGCCTCCATTTCCTCCACGTCTACATAAGAAACTTTCTCTCTGGGCCCAGCTGGGTGCCGTGCTGAGTTCAGGAGAGAACATGACCCTGTCCTGCTGCTCAGAGAGCAACTTGGACGTGTACCATCTACCCAGGGACGGGCAGCTCCGTGGGCACCAGCTGGCTGAGGGGCAGAGGCACGATGGTGCATCCTGGGCCCACTTCCTTCTGGGTCCCACAAAACCAGCCCTGGGTGGGACCTACATATGCCATGGCTCTTTCAACTCCTCTCCCTGTGAATGGTCAGGCCCAAGTGACCCACTGTACTTTTCTGTCACAGGTGAGGAAGCACACAACCTGCTCTGTGCCCAGTGATTCAGGATATATCTGAAGGCTATATGTGAAGGGTGTCCTACTGATAATGGGAGGATGCTTAGGAGTTCTGGAGAGAGAGAAACATAGATAAAGAAACAGGGAAGGAGAGACTGAGGACTCACCTCCAGCCTCCTCCTGTGCATCTTGCACAGAGACCCACACTGGGGGGTCTGTGTACAGAGGAAGATGGAAAGGGGTCAAGGCGGGCCCAGGAGGGGGAGAAAAGGGGCTCAGTTTGAGGATATCATAGCTTGCATTGGCCCCTCACCACTACTCATTTCCCAGGAGCCCCTCCTGACCTCCCACCCACAGAGAGATCTCCAAGGTGGTACAGGTGCCTTTGCCTTTGGGGAAAGATCAAGAAACCTCCTCTTAAGTAGAGGCCCCTTTCATCCCCAACCTCTCCTGTTTTCTCTCTGCATCTTGAAGTCTCAGGGATTCAGTCCCCAGGGATTATGGGGAGGGGTCCCAAGAGCTCCCAGGAACTCAGCGTTAGATGGCAATGAGCTTCCGTGGGTAGAATATGGGCAACTCCACATCCCCACCTCTCTCCTGACTTGTCTTCTAGGAAACCTGTCAAGTAGTTGCCTTCCATACAGAGAACCAAACTCCAAAACTGGTAAGTGAAGGATCTCTTTTATCCTTGTTTGTAGACAAAGAGAAGCCTTGGGTTTGAGTGTTGGCTCAGCCACCTTCCAGCTCTGTGATCTTGGGCTCATTACCATGCCTTTCTGATCCCCAGACTCTACAATGGCAGAAGGGGTTGGGGTCAGCATGAGGCCAGTGAGGACTCTTAAACTCTAATTTTCTGCAGCAGAGACCTCCTCCAAAAGAAGAGAGTGAAAATAAACCTGATCCGCTTGCCAGGAATAACGCCATACCTGCTCTTTCCCCATTCCTAAGTAGAGATGAGAATCTGTTGCGACCGGCGCAACAAACACCGAGATCAGGGTCCTGAGGGTAGAAGAATGTAAGAAAAAAAGAGAGAAGAGAAAGTTTGGGAACAAGAGGATCCCCTGGGCTGATGGCCCAAGTGACGGCTTTATTGTTGCTATACATAATCTTTTATAATATAAGACTTATGGATCAGGTCATTCTAAGAATAATCAGGTTTCACATAATCGCTGCCAACCAAAACATTTAGTTCTGTGTTTCTTGTGAATTTTCTAGACGGGTCACAACAAGACCTTGTTGATAAGATTGCTAGCAAAACACAATTCCCATGTTTGTTTCTATCTGACTCGGGGTAGAAAAAGGGAGGTAGCATTACTGCCCACACCTGCAGACCACAGGCTTCAGGAATTAACTTTCTCAGCCTTGACAAGGCTTTCGTATGCCCTTGAAAGTGGGGGAATGGGAGGGGGAACCACCGGGTTGGCTGAGTCAACAAGGAACCGTTGCTCGACCCAGTCTCAGCCTGGCACTGGGGCCCGGCCTCCCACATGAATGGCAGGGGGAACCACCGGGTTGGCTGAGTCGACAGGGAGCCTTTGCTCGACCCGGTCTCAGCCTGGCACTGGGGCCCGGCCCCCCACAAGAATCATGGGATCTTGGAGGAGAGAAAGGAAGAGTACAGCTGGTGGGGGTAGGTAGTGCTTAGAGAAGTTCCATTTGCCAAGAAATGAGCTCCTGTCTGTCAGGATGCAACACGGATATGCTTAGTAGAGTGAGGGAGAACTCAGAACCCAGTCTCTCACCCATACATGTGATTCCTTCATTTATTTGTTCATGCACTGTTCCAGTGCACATGTATGTCCATGTGCTGGATATGCCATAGGTAGTCATTTCTTATTGGTGCTATAACAAATTTCCACAAGCTCAGTACATTAAAACAACACAGTTTTTTTGTTTTTTTTTTTTTTTAGAAAGAGAGAGAGAGGGAGAGAGAGAGAGTGAGTGAGCACGAACAGGGGAGGGGCAGAGAGAGGGACACAGAGGGACCAAAGCGGGCTCTGCACTGAAAGCAGAGAGACCAATGTGGGGCTTGAACTCACAAACCGTGAGATCATGACCTGAGCCCAAATCAAGAGTTGGACGCTTAACCAACTGAGCCACCCATGCGCCCCAAAACAACACAGTTGATAAAATGATCTCATAGTTCTATAGTTCATAGTTCTGAAATGGGTCTCATGAGGCTGAAACCAAGATGGCAGCAGGCTGTGTGCCTTCTGGAGGCTCTGGGGGACAATCCATTTCCTTGCCTTTCCAGCTTTTAGAGCCTGCCCGTGTTCCTCTGCTCATGGTCCCTTTCCTCCATCTTCAAAGCCAACAATGATTGGTCAAGTCTAACTCACATTGAACCACTTAGACCCCCCCCCGCTTCCTTCATCACATCTCCTTCTCTATTAAGGACTCTTGTGATTACATTGGGGCCATCCAGATAATCTGGGATAACCTCTCAATTTTAAAGCCAGTGGATTAGCAACCTTAATTACATCTGCAACCATAGTTCCTCCTTGTCATGTAACATGACATAATTGCAAGTTATGGGAATTAGCACATGGAACTTTTGAGGGATGCATTCTTCTGCCTACTACCAATAGTAAACAGGATACCTTGGGAATGCATCTTGGGAAGCTGGTATTGCAGCTTAAGTGGAAGGGCAGAAAATGAGAACATGAATGGATGAATGATCAGTTGTGAGGAAACTATACATGAAAATTTAAATAAAGTGATAGATAGTGCTTTGTGGATGGTTTAGAGTGAGTGGCAGAGATTCTCTCAATTTTGGGCAGTATTAGGTCATGACCTTAATGACAAGAAGTGTTTAATTCTTTGAAGATTGTTGGAAAGATATCCCAGAGCTATCACCCAAGAAGACACTAAGGTGAGAATAATCTTATGCTCAAGGAAGAGTCTAAATGCTGCAGGGGAGGTGGAGAGAATGACAAGATCAATGGAAGGAGACAGAGAGGAACCAGATTGTATAAAGGAGCTGAGTAAGAACAAGGAATGTGTGCTACATGTTCAGTCCCATTGCAAATCGTCTAAGCATCTACTGGGAATCCATATATGATTAATAGTGACTTATATGAAAATGGGTTGTAAGGCGTATAACTGGGAGCCGAGAGACCACAGAAAATGCAATTGCCACCCTCCTGGTGAAATGTGGTGCCAAGTTAGACACCAAATGAATGAAGTAGATAAATACAAGACATGTTCTTGAGGTAGAACCATTTGGAGGAGGTTCTGTTGGATCTGGTTTTTCCTAGTTGCTTGCTCTTGGACTCATTCATTCCTTTGTGCAATTAATTTTCACTGCAACTAAACCTATACTAGTCAGGAGAGAGGAATCATGCGGAGGGAAGTGTGTACAAATGAGGATGCTTAGTGTAACAGTATAGTATACCAGAAAGACAAAGGCACTTGGCTTCAAATAGTCATTTTTCTACTTCTGTATGATAAGCTCATTTATCTTCTATTTTATCCACAATAAAATGAGGTTAAATCTCCCCGTTTTAGGTTCTCTATGTGGATGAGGTCAGGACAAAAACGTGAAAGCATTTCACATGCTTCTGCAACAGAGAAAGTGGTGTATACATGATGTAAATTGCCCCACTCCATTCCGCTCACCTCAAACCTCTACCTCACCCCTGCTTCCAGTCATCTGTGAACATATGATAGATCCCTTGGAAGTGAATACCAATACCCTTTTGAGTCAGTTCAAATCTTAGAGACAGGAACAAGCACTATTTAATTTAGAGTGCTTAATTAAGAGTCAACTTTCCTCTTAATTCCCAAAAGGACTGGTTTTGTTGGGACAGTGAATGGACAACAACAAAATATGTTCAGGAATAGCTGGTAGAGAGGATCAGACGAGCAGTAACCTAATATATGACTCATGAGACTACGCAAAGCAAACACATCGCACTGTGCAGCCCTTGCTCACCCATTTTGTTATCATTTCCTGCCTGTACAACATAAAATAACTCTACTTACTTTGACTTTGGTTTCAACTTTTTCTTTTGTTAAAGAATTTAGTCTTTCTTTTGTTAAAGAACGTTGTTCGATTCAGGGTTTTTTTTTTTTTTTTTGAGAACTTTTTTGAGGTAGAGATACTGTAGGTATTTTTCCAACAATCAATAAATGGGAGGCAATCAATAAAGGAGAGCTACTGTGATTTTCTCCTTAGATTCACATCTTCCTGCAGGTAACCCCAGACACTTACATGTTCTGGCTGGGCCCTTTAGTGGCCATCGTCTTCCTCACCATCCTTCTTTTTTTCCTCACTCATCGCTGGTGCCATGCCACAAAGAGTGAGTCTTGGGAAGAAGAGGCCAGTTTCCATCTAAGCAGAGCAGGGAGCTAGGATGAGAGTGCTCAGGTGTGAGTTCTCTGTTTGCAGGCTGATGTCTGGTTCAAGGCAGGAGCCACAGAGGTCAGGTTTTCTAGAGAGAACACCAGTGCCCTCCATCCTTATCAATGGAATGGAAATAGGGAGATATTAATGGGATGGGTCTGTGAACCTTTCAAGAGGTAGAATTTCTTTTTTTTTTTTAATGTTTATTGATCTTTGAGAGACAGAAGAGAGAGAGAGAGAGCATGAGCGGGGGAGGGGCAGAGACAGAGGGAGACATAGAATCTGAAGCAGGCTCCAGGCTCTGAGCTGTCAGCACAGAGCCCGATGCTGGGTTCAAAGTCACGAAATGTGAGACCATGACCTGAGCTGAAGTTGGATGCTCAACTGACTGAGCCACCCAGGCGCCCCTAGAGAGGTAGAATTTCTGACTCTACTTTTTGGTAGTAATTCCAGGCAATACTGCACCTCTCTGGTTCCATCCATGTTGCTGCAAATGGCATGATTTCATTCTTTCTCATTGCCAGGTAGTATTCCATTGTGTATGCTGAGTGAAATAAGTCAGTCAGAGAAGGACAGATATCATATGTTTTCACTCATATGTGGATCTTGAGAAACTTAACAGAAGTCCATGGGGGAAGGGAAGGGGAAAAAATAGTTTCAGAGAGAGAGGGAAGCAAACCACAAGAGACTCTTAAATACAGAGAACAAACTGAGGGTGGATGGGGGAGTGGAGGAGAGGAGAAAGTGGGTGATGGGCATTGAGGACGGCATTTGTTGGGATGAACACTGGGTATTTTTTGTAAGCCAATTTGACAATAAATTATATTTAAAAAAATACTGCACCTCTGTGCATGGGTATCTGTATCTATTAAATGAGGACCCAGAAATGCCCTTCCACGTGTTTTTGATGACTTCTATTCCCTACAGATGCTGCTATAATGAACAGAGAGCCTGAGGTGGACAGAATGGTGAGTAGGGAGGTAGGTCCTCCTCAGCTCACCCTCTTCAGTGCAGTCTCACTTCCTCCTACTGCCCACAAATGTGTGCACACCGTCCTTCCCATTTCCCATTATGCAGGATCCTCCAGCAGAAGACGCACAGGAGGTGACATACACAGAGTTGGGTCATTGCATTTTCACACAGCAAAAAACCACCCCCACCTCCCAGGGGCCCAAGGAACACTCGAGTGATGCCAGTGTATACATGGAATTTGTAAGGCCAATCAAGGCTTGAATCCTATGCATGAGCACACCCAGAAAGACCCTGAGGAGGCTTTAGACCCATGGACGCCATAGCTCTTTCTGAAACCTCACTTGACAACTCTGTCCTAACAACAAATTATGTCTTCAGATTCATCTCACCCTAAGAAGAGATAAAAACCTCAGGACCCCCTAGAAAACATTCGTAGGATCGTTGTCCTTGTTATTCTCATCTCTACCATCTATTCCCTAAGTTTTCTGCCCTGCTCTGTGCTATGGTTGTGCTATGGTAAAGGGTAGGAGCTGATCCCTATTGATTTTGACTTTGGCTTCCTTGCTGTCTGGCTCCATTGGACCCTGTCAATAGAGACCTCCCTGTAATTATGCTGAGTCAATTTCTTACTTAGTGCTATCTTTAACTGCTACCATTTATATAACTCCACCTTAAAGTGAATTATCTACATACTGCCAAAATCAAGAATTATGATATTAAGAATTCTCCAAGACCATTTGCCTGTGACAGGACCAAATATCTTACCCATGAATTAAGACACGATGTATAGTGTGAAGTAATGTGTCCCCAGGCTAAGATTGTAAATAATTTTGTTCTTCATTGTTTACAGGGTAAACAACTGTATTGCTCTCACAGGCTAAAATGTGAAACACACTAGGGGGTCAGAGATGTGTTGTTGTTTTTTTTAATGTTGATGGTCTTTTCTCATTACAGAAAAGACATTCATTCTTTCTATAAAAGTTGGAAAATAGATACAGAAAAAAGAAAAATCACCAATAAATTTATCATCAGATAATCATTTTAAACACTTGTTGCTTTAATTTTGGCTTAAAGTACTCATGTGTGTGGTTCGACAGAATTTTACGCATTTGCACCTTTGTAACCACCACCTATGCCAAAATGTAGAATATTCTTAACACCCCAGAAAACTTTCTTGGCCCTTTTTGTGGGTAAGTTCTGACTTCCGTTACTATGCTACTATAAACAAATAAACAAAGCTACCATCTATCTACTATTAATCATCTTTCTTCCTGGCTATTACTGAATTTCACCTACATGGAACCATATACTATGTATTTTTGTGACTGGCACCTTTTGTTCAACATTATATGTTTGATATTTCATCACATCTTTGCATGTGAAAAATTATTTTCCATCCTGTGTAAGAATCCATTGTGTGACTATGTCACAATTATGTATCTAGTTGTGGTGAGTGTCCCAAACTCTGATGCCTTAATTTCTTGCACTCTTATGTCCTTCCAGAACCATCCAGATAGATCTACCCAATCTTACTGGAATCCAGGAAGCCATGCTGGGGCAGGTCCAGGCATCCTCAAGTGAGAGATATTGGAAGCTCTGGTGGCCAGAGAGCACCTGGCTGGTGTCCCCAGCATGGAGTCTGGCTCTTGCCCATCACCTTTGCAGCTAACTCCTTCAGGGCACATAGGGAGTACCACGCACCCCATGTCTCAATTTAGTATAGACGATTGCCCCCAAGGCTCAATCAAGGAAATCCAGTAGCAGGATGTGGATCTATCAGGATAATTCTGGAAAAAACAAAATAGTGCAAGAAATTAAGACATCAGAGTTTGGGAGACTCAGCAATATTTTGGATGCAGAACTAGCATCAAAGTTAACCTTGTTAGAGGGGCGCCTGGGTGGCGCAGTCGGTTAAGCGTCCGACTTCAGCCAGGTCACGATCTCGCGGTCCGTGGGTTCGAGCCCCGCGTCGGGCTCTGGGCTGATGGCTCGGAGCCTGGAGCCTGTTTCCGATTCTGTGTCTCCCTCTCTCTCTGCCCCTCGCCCGTTCATGCTCTGTCTCTCTCTGTCCCAAAAATGAATAAACGTTAAAATACAAGTATGTTTATCACCTTCATAGAACCCATCAGGGGTCTAACTTCAGATAAACCTACTGACATGGCCATGGCCATGGCTCCCTAGCTGTGCTGGGCTGCTTCTGCTCCCCCAAGCCCATTTTTCATTCTCCCACCGAGTCTCTGCTCCTCAGTCACTCTGACTTTGTTTTCATGTGTCCCATACTTATTTGTACTTTATTATCCAGGACCTTCTCCTGTTGTTCCTGTGATCCACAATGCTCCTAACCTGTCTGTCCACATCGCCTAGGCTACTCATCCTCATGTATCAGCTGAACCCTCACATCTGTTATCAGATTTCCAAGATCTGTGTCTCTGTACTGCAGACTGTGTGTCATGACCTGTGATTATATACTTGCCTATTTTTTTAATGTTTATTTTTGAGAGAGAAACAGAGCACAATGGGAGAGGAGCAGAGAGACAGGGAGACACAGAAACCGAAGCCTCCAGGCTCTGGGCTGTCAGCACAGAGCCCGACGCAGGGCTTGAACTCACAGACTGCAAGATCGTGACCTGAGCTGAAGTCGGACGCTCAACCAACTGAACCACCCAAGTGCCCCTACACTTGTCTATTTTTAAAAGTAGCTGACACTTCCCATATTATCATTCTCCTAAAGGTCTTAACCAGGTTGTTTAGGTCAGGGTTTCCCAACCTCAGTCCTATTGACAGTTGGGAGCAGGTGTTGTTTGGAGGGAAGTCCTGTGCATTGTAAGATCCCTGGCCTTTACCCAGAAGATGCCAACAGTGCCTTCTGCCCCCATGTGACAACCAAAAATGTCCCTAGGCATTACCGAATTGTCCCCTGGGAGGCAAAATTGCCTCCTGTTGCGAACCACTGGTTTAGGTCATTATATTAAATAAACATTGTATCTGCATTAATGGAGATATCCATGATCTCTTCATCTGTTTTGGAAGAACAAAAGCATGGAGGTATTGGTGAGTGAATACTATTAAATAAAAGGAAGTCCTGCAATTTTTGGTAAATACAGTCAACACCTTCCACAGCCACCTGTAGCAAGTTGGTCTTCCTTCACAGCAATCCTCATGAGAATGGCAAATTCCCTTTCTACCCCCCCCCTCTCGCCCCTCCTCACAGAGCTGCAGTTGAGCACACCACTATCAGGTCTAAAAGAGATGATACATCTTGATAAAGGAACCAGCAGGCTTGGAGTTGTTCATGAGGGTTGCCATGGCAACGGAACACCAAACAGACTTTGTGGCAGACTAGTGGTTGCTAAGGGCTGTGGGAAGGTAGAGTGGGGAGTGACCTCTTGGTGTATACAGAGTCTCCTTCGGGTTGATAAAAATGCAAGAAGATAGAGGTGATGATTGGACAACACTGTGAATGCGCCAAATGCCACCGAATCATACACTTTAAAAATGGTTAATTGTATGTTATGTGAACTTCACCTCAAAAAGAAAATGAACATATGAAAAGGAAGGGGTTCAGTTCCTCAAAAGGCTAAACATAGAATTATCATGTGATCTAGCAATTCCACTCCTACATATACAACCAAAGGAATTGAAAACAGGAACTTGAACAGAGATTTGTACACCAATGGTCACAGCAGCATTATTCACAATAGCAAAAGATAGAAACAATCCAAATATTCATTGGTATGAGTGGATAATCAAAATGTGGTCTACACATACAAGGGAATGTGACTTAGCCATCAAAAAGAAGGGTATTCTGACACGTGGTACACATGCATGAACCTCGAAGATATTATGATAAGTGCAATACACCAGACATGGAAAAACAAATACTGTATTTGATACAGGATACCTTAAATGGGCAAATTCATAGACAGGAAGTAGATCAGATGTGGAAAGAGGAATGGGGAGTTATTGCCTAATAGTTACAGAGTTTCTGTTTGGAGTCATGAAAAAATTCTGAAAATAGAGGTCATGGTTGTGCAATATGATGAATGTAATTAATTCCATTGAACTGTACACTTAAAAAATGGTCGAGGGGCACCTGGGTGGCCCCGTGCATTGAGCAGCTGACTCGATTTCAGCTCAGGTCATGATCCCAGGGTCATGGGATTGAGCCCCGGGTTGGGCTCCATGATGAGCATGAAGCCTCCTTGGGATTCTCTTTCTCTCTCCTTCTGCCCCTCTGCCCCACTCGTGCTCTCACTTTCTCTAAAATAAAAAAAAATTAATGGTTTAAATGGTGAATTTTATGTTATATATATTTTGCTACAATTGAAATATACCAAAAAAAAAAAAAAAGAAAAGATTTTAAAAAGGAAGGAATCCTGGGTCTTTCAGACCTTAACTTATTTGCATTTCCCCCACAGAGAAGAAAAGCACTATAGTTTCTCCATGGCCGGCACCTGACTCTGGGCTCTATTTTCTTCCAGGGTATTTTCCCATTCCTATTATATCTGCCACACCTGGTTCTGTGATTCCCTGGAATGAATCTGTGAAGATCCTGTGTTGGGGGACTCCTGAGTCTTACTTGTACCAACTGGAAATCCTGAGAAACTCCACATTTGAGGTGGTAGAGAAGAAATTGGGATTTCAGGAGAAGGCTGAATTCATCATTAGCCACATGAATACCAACACTGCAGGCCGTTATCAGTGCCAATATAGGAAAGAGTACAAATTATCAGAGCACAGCAAAACCCTGGAGCTGGTGGTGACAGGTGAGGACACATCCAGCGTCTCCAGCCCTTGGGTGTTGTTTCTTTCTTATTCTTTCAAAGGCTTTACTTTTAGAACAGTTTGGGTTTACAGAAAAGTTGAGAAGATAAGACAAAGGCATTTCCATAGACCTGTCACCCACTCTCCCCTGCTGTTAACATCTTCCATTAGTACGGACTTTTCTTCCTATTAACGAACCACTATGGATAACTTAGCATGCACTGAAGTCCTCAGTTTATTTAGATTTCCTTAGCTTTTATCCAGAGTCCTTCATCTGTCCCAGGATCCTATCCCACGCTGCATAGAGTTATCATGTCTGCTTAGGTTCCCCTTGGATGTGGAAGTTTTAAGGAGTGCCGGTCAGGTATTTTGTAGAATGTCCCAATATTGGAAGTTGTCTGGAAGTTGCTGGGGTCATTGGATCACTGTGAGGGAGACCACAGAAGCACAGTGACATTTTCACCACATCACACTGAGGGTACATACCATGCAAATGAATATGGCTGTTGATGCTGAGATTGAGCACCTGGCTGAGGTGGCATAGGCAGGTTTCTCTCCCAACCCTTTCCATATGGAAGGAAATCACTATATGCAGCCTGTACCTGAGGCAGGTGAGATAGTTATGCTCCCTATGCTCCCTGCATGAACCCAGCCCTTGGTTTTAAGCCCTCTCTCTCTTCAAGGTGGCTTGACCCTGTGCTTCTAGAAGCATCTTTTTTCTAGAAGAGTCCACCCTGAATTTCTACCTGCTGACATTCTTTTTACATAATGTCGACTCTCTCTGTCCCTGACATAGCTCCTCAAACTCTTTGGATACTATCCGCCCTTTTCCTTAACATGTGGCTTGTGATATTGTGATTTATAGTAAGAACTATATATATGGTCTTCATTCCTGTTCCTGGCACAGAGCTCCTAAATCCCTTGGAATTTCCTGAGTTAGATGAATGACAAAGATGTTTTGCTATTCCTAACAACCCCCTTTTGACCACTCCTGAGGTTATGTCAAAGAGATAACTTTTGGACTACCTCCAAGGAGAGGAGAGGAGCTGGAGATTGAATCAATCACCAATGGCCAAAGGTTCAATCAATCATGCCTATGTAATGAAGCCTCCATAAGAACCCAAAAGGAGAGAATCCAGGTTGGTAAGCACAAGGAGGTACTGGTAGAGCAGGGCACAAGGATATGGCACCTGGGCCTTATTTATCTCTACCATTTGGCTGTCCCTGATTTCATCCTTTAGAATAAACCAGTGATCTAGTGGGTAAACTGATTTCCTGAGTCCTATAAGCCATTCTAGCAAATTAAGCGAACCCAAGGAAGGAGTTCTGGGAACTTCTGATTTATAGCCATTCCGTCAGAAGCACAGGTGACAGCAAGGGCTTGTGATTGGCATCTGAAGTGGGGGTGGTCTCATAGGACTGAGCTCCTAACCTATGGGATCTGACGTTATCTCCAGGGAGATAATGTCAGAATTAAGTTGAATTATGGGATGCCCAGCGGGTGTCTCAGAATTTCTTGGTGGTGTGGGGGAAAGCCCCACAGGTTGTAATTGGGAACAGAATCATGTGGGTCTTGTGGCTTTAGAAACAAGATCTCTATCTCTTGAAAATGGTATCTCACCCAAGTCTCACAGGCTGCTTGTTTGCTCAGCCCCGTCTGCAATAATTTGGGACAGAGTATATGTCCTGGGGTAGGAAAATGGGAAGTTCCCAGCTCCCATTCCTTTGAATCAAGGAATATCAGCACCTTGCCTTCCCTTAGGATGGACCCAGCATGAGTGTTGAGGATAAAGGGAAAAGGATGAAAAATCTTGCTAATAGCTCACTCTCTTTTCTTTAAGGCTTGTACGACAAACCCTCCCTCTCAGCAGTGCAGGGCATGGTGGTGATGCTGGGAGAGAATATTTCCCTGCAGTGCAGCTCAACAGACATCCCATTTGATAGATTTTCACTGACCAAAGAAGGAGGAGCCACCCTGTCACAGCACCAAAGTGGGGTACACCAAGGCAACTTTATTCTAGGCCCTGTGAACCACAACTTCTCAGGGAACTACAGGTGCTATGGTTGGTACAGTGGCAGCCCTTATGTGTGGTCAGCCCCCAGTGATGCCCTGGGGCTTGTGGTCACAGGTAGGTGCACCCCAGTCCAGCCCTGAATCCTCCTCTTGGAGCCTTGGCATTAGGCAGGAATATGGAAGGTACACTGAGAAAAAACAGTGGGGTAGTAGAGGACCATTAAGCAGAGGACTGTGAAGACAAAAAAAGACTTTCATCCACACCCCATTCAACATTCACATCCTCTCCGAGAGTTCTGTAGACAGTGCCCTTTAAAAACGTGGTCTGGGGGCACTTGGGTGGCTCAGTCATTTGAGCGTCTGACTTCGGCTCAGGTCATGATCTCACAGTTCATGAGTTTGAGCTCCGAGTCTGGCTCTGTGCTGACATCTCAGAGCCTGGAGCCTGCTAAGGATTCTGTGTCTCCCTCTCTCTCTTTCTGCCCCTCTCCCGCTCATGCCCTCTCTCTCTCTGTCTCTCTCTCAAAAATAAATAAACATTAAAGAACAATTAAAAAAAAAAAAAACATGTGGTCTGTTGAGAATGGAGAGTCCAACGTTTAGAATCATGTTAAGGGGTGTGGTTGAGACATAGATCCCAGACACCACCTTAGACTGACCCACTTCTCTTTTTTCATATGCTTAGCTGCATCTGGGAACCCTTAAACTGACCTTCAGTAATAGACTCCACTCTGAGTGATTGGCTAGAAACTCTAGCATAAGCCCAATTATTATACTGTTTGCATCACTCAGCTCAGCGAGAGAAGACAAGTTCGAGCAAAAGAAAGTAACTGCGGACTGCTGAGTGGGGCGACCACATTCATCTTCTGTGGCCACTTTGTCCGATCACTCCACAAGCTGAGCAGATACAGTAGTCATGGCTCTGTAAGATCATACAGGCTAGAGTGCTCTTTTCATTTAACAGTGCATGGATAGTTGGGCATCGATGGAGGAGGAGTGAATCTATTTGTCTTTTTCTTTAGAGTAGTCACCTTGTCTTGTTTCAAAAATCATCTGTCCCAGTGTCGGGATGATACTATCTTGTATTATCTTCTAATCTGAAAATCCAAATCCGTTTGAAATTAATTTCTGTATGTATTAATGTCTACTTATTTTTGAGAGAGGGAGAGCACGAGAGGGGGAGGGTCAGAGAGAGAAGGGGACAGAGGATTTGAAGCAGACCCTGCTCTGACAGCGGGGCTTGACCTCACGAACCATGAAATCATGACCTGAGCTAAAGTCGGACTTAACCGACTGAGCCACCCAGGTGCCCCTAATTCCTGTATTTTAACCAGAGAGAGTTACTACAATTTATGAGCATTGTAATCTCACAGTACTTTATTAATTCCTGGCACATAGGCCTATGAAGCCCATATAACAAATGAAGAAAATTTTTTTTAAAGTTTCAGAGAACAGCAATGTCTAGTGAACAGTCACACAAGAGTGGAGATAAATTTTACCAAAGATTATCTGAAGACTTTCTCCTAGCTACTTCCCAGATACCAACCATACCATATCCTTTGTCACGCATGGAAGAGGAACACAAATTGTTATGTGGGGTGAGGAAAGTGTAGAGAAAATGTACTATTCTGAATACATGAATTTGTTGCAAGGCTGTGGGTTTTTTAATTTAATTTATTTATTTAAATTCAAGGTAGTTAACATACATTGTAGTCTTGGCTTCAGGAGTAGAACTCAATGATTCATCACTTACATATGATACCCAATACTCATCCCAACAAGCATTCTCCTTAATGTCTATCACCCATTTGGCTCACCACCCCACCCCACAACCTCCTCTCCAGCAACACTCAGGTTGTTCTCTGTATCTAAGAGTCTCTTATAGTTTGCCTCCTCTCTGTTTTTATCTTATTTTTCCTTTCCTTCCTATATGTTCATCTTTTGTGTTTCTTAAATTCCATATATGAATGAAATCATACGATATTTGTCTTTCTCTGATGGACTCATTTAGCTTAGCATAATACACTTTGGTTGGATCTATGTTGTTGCAAATGGCAAGATTTCATTCTTTTTTATCACTGAGTAATACTCTATTGTATATGTATACCACATCTTTGTATCCATTCACCAGTCAATGGGCATTTGGGCTCTTTCCATACTTTGGCTATTATTGATTGTGCTTCTATAAACATTGGGGTGCATGTAGGGGATATAGCTCAGGAGCAGAACATTTGACTGCAAGGCTTTGACTAGACTTTGAGGGAAATTACTACATGAAGAGGGATTCAAGAGCCAACACAACATCCCCATAATCACCTCCTTTCCTGTTCACAAGATGCCCCTTGGATCCAGGCTCACAGACTAAGTATGGCACTCGTGAATGCATGAGCTTATTGAGGGTGGGGGTTTAGTGGAAGCACAAACAGGGAAATGAGCTCCTTTTCAGGGCTCTGTGTTGGGATGAAATGGAACATGACCAATGATTGCTCATCTCCTTTGAATTATGTCCACAGATATAATGAACCAAGATTACACAATGGAGAATTTGATCCGAATGGGCGTGGCAGGACTGGTCCTTGTGGCTCTCTTGGCCATAGTCATTGGAAATTGGCACAGCCATAAGGTTCCAAACAAGGAAGACTGGCCAGATTTTCCTGAACTGAGCCGGAGTAAACACAAATGTCAGACTGGACCTTTGGACAAAGCCTTAAGAGACACCAGGTAGCCACCTGTCACTGAAAGAGAAATGAGTCAGCACTTGTGGAGCCCTGGGAGAACATAAGGGAGAAAGAGGCACTGACAATTTTAGATCCATTTTCAAACCAATCCAATCGTATTTTCTTATATGTATCTAATACAGTTGTACACCACTTTTCTAGATTTGGTGATAAAATCCTCGGTACAGTCTTGTCTGTGATAAAAATTATTCAAAGTATTCCTAGTTCTCAATCCTGACTTTTTTTCCAGCCTCTACAGAAGGTCTGGCTCAAGACTTTAATCTGTCTTGAATTTATCAGCCAAACCAGGTACCCTTACATCCTCCTAGGTAAGACTTTAACATTCAGAATGCTATTAATTATTAATACCACCAATTAATTATTAATACTGTCCATTCAACATACCATGTTTCCCATGACATGAGTGCTTCTAGTTTTCCCTACGATGACATTTGTGTATTAACACATGCTTTCCCTGTTGTTAAAAAGACTTTCCTGTTCTTATGAAACTAACATTTCAAGATGTCTCATGCCTCCAATGCAAAGTTGATAGACTTGTGAAAACAGCCCCAACAAGCATCTCCTCTGGGTTATCTCAGTCCTTTGAGCTGCTTAGTCTATCAAATCATCTCTTTGTAGTATCTATCGTGAGGTATGCAAAACATAAAATACTGGAAATATTTATTGAGATTATGAACAAATAAGTTGATGAAGAACATGTTAGATATTGGGCTAGATAAAACCATGAGGAAGTGCCACAGTTTCAGAGGAAGGCTAATCAGAGACTTTACATCAGAGCCAAGATTTGGACCTGAGAGATGCAATGAGATTTGATTCCACAGAGAGATAGGATCAACCTCACACACTTGGTTGTGTCCACACCAGGGCCTTGCGTGGAAAAGCATACTGTAAACCTGGGAATAAAAAGACCCTCCCCTCCTAGAAAAAGACTACGTTGTCTGGTAGCCATGATGACAAAAAGCCGCCGGAACCAGTTTTTCACTCATCAGCAATGACCACTCCCCTCAATGAAAAACGCCCTGGTGATTCAACCAATCAGCTCCTTGCTTCTAAATGTCAGCCAATCAGAAACGGATTTACTTCAGTAACTGCACCTGTGAGTGACAGCCAACCCTTCAGAAGGGAAACAAAAATAATATAAAAACAGGGAGGGGGACAAAACATAAGAGACTCTTAAATACAGAGTACAAAGAGTTACTGGAGGGATTGTGGGAGCAGGGATGGGCTAAATAAGTAAGGGGCATTAGAGAATCTACTCCTGAAATCATTGTTTCACTACATGCTAACTAATTTGGATGTAAATTTTAAAAAATAAAAAAATAAAATAAAGTCCCCCTTCAATAAACATTTTTTACAGATGATGCCAATCCACAAGAGGCCCTGAGAATCCATATTTCCCAAAAACCCTGTAGGCTCTGCTCAGAGACTCAGAGGCATCATGTCTAGCCAGCATAACTCCCTTAACAGAGTAAAAATAAATTCTGCTTTGCCTTTTTTATTCCAGGCACTGAATGGTGAGTGCATTTGCCTTTGATAGTTCATATATTGGGCTGATTTAGGTTAAATGGAAGGCGTGGCTTGGGGAAAAGAGTATGAGGACTTATATTCCATGACCTTCACCTCTATGTTGGGCTTTATGTTAGTCATTTCATTCACAAAAGCTTACTACAGCCCTGTGAATTTTATTTTAATCAATCCATGTGTCACATGAACAAACAGAGGCTTAGAGATGATATGATTTGAAGGGCGCCTGGCCGGCTCAGCAGTGGAGTGTGCAACACTTGATCTCAGGGTTGTGAGTTTGAGCCCCATATTGGGTGTAGAGATTACTTAAAAATGAAACGTACTGCACACTACTGAACTGTATACTTAGACTTGGTGAAGATGGTGAATTTCATGTTATGTATTTTTTTTGCTACAATAAAAAAGTAGTTAAAATGGTAAAATTTGGTTATGTATATTTTACCACAATTTGCAAAAAGTTGACCCATAAATAACCAGCAATAGAATATTGCAAACTTCGTGAAGAAACAAAGAACCCTCAACATATAAAGGGAGAACTAGCACGCCAAAACACTTGAGATATAGAACTGTCATTATGCATGTGTAAATTATTAAAATAGTAAGTAGAGAGGAAACCCATCAGGAAACTGAGGCTAGACCCATTCTCTAAAGTCCAGATCCCACCCCAACTAGGGCCATGCCATGGAGATGTTAGCCTGATCCTCTCTGGTGCCAGCAGGTTGACTTCAATCCCAGGGAGTTCCCGCCAACTTTGAAAATAATTTCAAAGGAACATGTTCTCAGGCAACCAGCCTCTTGAAGAGAATCTAGAAATCTCTGAAGCAAGGGGTAGCAGAACTTTCACAATTCCAAGAGAACTACTTCTCTACCCCTGGTCACTTTGTCCCCAAAGGATGACCACCTCTTTCCTGACGCAGGGACCCATTCATCAGGAGCCTTACCTTCATGCTATGGATGGACTTTGGGCTGATGATGATGAGCAAATTAAGATGTATCGTGGAAGAGAGGTGAGACAAGATGCCCTCTTGGCCTAGAGACATCTTTGTCATCTACAGATGAGCCTGCCTCATTGTCTCCTGTGGGCTAGCAACCACTGCCCTCCCTCTCCCATGCTTGGGTATCTAAACGTTTCCACAAGCCAAGAGTGACTTACGAACAAAAAACCCATAGCACATAGCCAGGTTTCTCACATGCACAGGCTGTGTCCTCTCTCTAGAAATGTGGTCAATGTAGACATTCCGGTAGGTGGCCCTTGGTCCCGACCACTGCTTCTTCTGTGCTCATTCTTCCTGTAAGTCTATCGAGGCTAAGTTCCCTAAATGATGCGACACAGGAAGTCAGCTGGAAGAAGCCCCCACCTGTGTCCTTGGCGAATCCTCTATGGGAAGACAAGACAGTGGCAATCCAGTACATGACCTTTTCACAGGGAGAGGAGAGCTACCGATTGTAGGTCAGTATCTGCCCAAGAATGGATGTGCGAGCTACCATGTCAATCAACAGTGATCATCTCGCTTGATCTTTTCTTTACCCAAGAGAAAGATGTTATAGGCACACGAGGACAGTGCCTTTCCTCCAAACGTCATAAGGATATTTTGGTGGAGACCATCTAGGCAGGGGAGCATGGGTGAACGTCGGCTGGCTAGAGAAGACGGGTCCTGGAATTTGGAACTGAGGACTGGAGGCCACGGAAAAGAATGGAATAGAAATCCTGTCATTTGCAACCACAGGAATGAACCCAGAGGACACCATGCTAAGTGAGATAAGTCAGACACACAAGGACAAACACTCCTGACACCACTTATATGAGGGCGAAACTGTCCTACATTTTGACTTAGGTGTCGGTTACATGACCGTATACGTTGATCACCACTCATACAGAACTGAACAGGAAAAGAGTGGATTTTGCTATATATAAATAAAAAAGGGAATGGAATATGTTCAACCACAAAATCAAGAAATAAGAACAAAAGATACCAGATTGAGAGAGATCTCCTCATAGAACGTAATGCACGACATAAATTGGCATAACATTTTCATTTTCGAACATCGTTTAGACCTTTGGAGGGAAAAATATGAACACATTTTGAATTTCAAAACATGTGAAAATGTTAAATATTTTAATATTTAATTTCTGCTTTATAACAGACTAAAGGAATATACTCATGTAAAAAACAGGACATTTTCATTTAAAAAACAGCATTTTGTTGAAACATCGTAATGAAACTTTGGAGAAGATAGTGTTATCATTCCATTCTGATGACACCAGTGAACTTTCCCAAGCACATGCACAACAGAGGGGAGCCAAGGCTAAGCACATATTTTAAAAAACTTTCTTTTAATGTTGATTTATTTTTGAGAGAGAGAGAGATAGACAGAGCATGAGCGGGGGCAGAGCAGAGAGAGAGGGAGACACAGAATCTGAAGCAGGCTCCAGGCTCTGAGCTGTCAGCACAGAGCCCGACACGGGGCTAGAACCCACGGACTGTGACATCATGACTGAGCCAAAGTTGGACACTCAACCGACTGAGCCACCCAGGTGCCCCTAAACACATATTTTTTAAATGATTCTAAGGTTTCTTCTCTGTACATCGTCTTCTGCCTTCCCTGGGTGTAATGTCCACATTTCAGATTTTAGAAGTGGGCCCTGAAACGAATGAGTTTCAGGTGCGGCACACAACTGTCAGAGGATCTGGTTAGACCACAGATATGATCAGATGTGTCTTTATACCTCATGGTCAGAGGTAGAGGGAAAACCGTGAACCTGCTCTTGTTAAAAAAAAAAAAAAAAAAAAAAGGTCAGGTGAAAGCCCCATGGCAATTAGTGCTAAGCTTTACCCACCACATCCTGTGGCATCTTCCTGGCCTGCTGGCCTGCTGGCCTCCATCTCCACATTCGCCTGGAAGAATCTAGGCTATGACCTCCACATTCACTGCCCTGCTCTGCCTTGGTGAGTTCTCTCCTGAGAGGGAGACACAATCCTGGGGTCTGGACATGGGTGGGGTGGCATGGCTCACTGTTCCTGTCTTCCAGGGCTGTATCTGAGCCAGACCATCGGCGCCCAGACACGTGAGTCTCTCCGTCAGAGCCCCAGGATCTCTTTTCTGGGCTCAGGCTAAGTATCCACCTGCAAGCAACCGGAGGAGGGGACAGGGGCTCTGGTTTGCTAGGAAGGCTTGAGGCCAGCAACCGGGTGGAAATGTGGGTGGGAAGGGGCTTTATGTAGAACTCCTGGCTCTGATTCCCTTACAGAGATTCTCTCAAAACCCATCATCTGGGCCAAGCCCAATTTCATGATTCCGAAGGGAAGGCCAGCAAAGATCTTATGCCGGGGGTTTCCTGAGGCCACTGAGTACCAGCTGTATTTCGAGGGACGCCTCTCTGCCCGGCAGAGCCCAAGACAGCCTGGAATAAGGAACATAGTCTCATTCCCCATCTCAGCCATGACCCTGCTCACTGCAGGGCAATACAGGTGCATTTACCGAAGCGGGGAGCTCTGGTCAAATCCTAGTGACCCTCTGGACCTGGTGGTAACAGGTAAATGTCCCATCCTCTATCTGTGGTCATCCCCCAAGCCTGAATCCCGGGGAGGGTCATCATTTATTAATCTCCTTTAGTGTCATCCAAACCTCACTCCTTGGTTATCTGTGGTCTAGGAGCGGATTTGTCATAGGTCAGGCTCTCCAGGTGAGATGTTCTGAGATGGATGTTTGCATGTATCTGGGGAGTATCCTCGAAAGTGACCCCTGTGATGAAAAGTGAGGGAAACAGGCTGGACAGGAGGCGAAGGTGGACCCTGGGGTGGTTTCACCCGACATCTCAGCCAAACCAATGTGGAACTCCGGACCCGGGATGGCCCTTCCTAGCAGTCTCGAACTGAGGCTAGGGGGTCTGTACCCACCAGGGTCAACCAGGGAGTGGATGAGAACCCCTCCTATGGGGGTTCCATGCAAACATCTGCTTTTGTGGCACTTGATTTCTAGCGGGAGAAGACAGACCATGAGTCAAGTTTAGGGTAAATCTATCAATTATAAGCACATGAGGAGGAAATAACGGTATGGAAGAAGACCAGATAGAACAGAGTTGGGAGGGAAGGCTGTCTCAGTTAAGGAAGCTGAGGGATGCCATTCTCCCACTTAAGCAGGTATCAGAATCACTTGCAGGGTTCGTGATAACACAGACGGCTTTAGTGCACCCATGTGCACCAAAGCCCTATTCACAGTGGCCAAAAGGTAGCAACAACCCCAGTGTCTATTGACCAAGGAACAGATAAACAAAATGTGGTCTATACACACAACGGAATATTGTTTGGCCTTAAAAAGGAAGGAAATTCTGACACCTGCTACAATATGGATGAACCTTGAGGATATTACGCTCGGTGAGATAAGACAGTCACACACGGACAAATACTGTCTGGTTCCACTTCCGTATAGGACCCAGGATGGTCAAATACATAAAGACAGAAAGCAGAATGGTGGCTGTCAGGGGCTGGGGGACGGGGATGGGGAGATGGTATTTAGTAACGGGGACAGAGTTTCAGATTTGCAAGATGAAAAGATTTCCGAAGACCGATGGTGAGGATGCCTACACAAAGCAATGTGAATGTGCTTAGTGCCACTGAACTGTACCCTTAAAAATGGTTAAGATGTGGGAGGGGCGCCTAGGTGGCTCAATCGGTTGAGTGTCCGACTTCGACTCAGGTCATGATCTCATGGTTCGTGGGTTCTAAGCCCTGCACGGAGCTCTGTGCTGACAGCTTAGAGCCTGGAGCCTGTTTTGGATTCTGTGTCTCTCTTGCTCTCTGCCCCTCCTCTGCTTGCACTCTGCCACTTTGTCTCTCAAAAATAAATAAGTATCAAAAAAATTTTTTTTAATGGTTAAGGTGGTAAATGCTATGTTATGTGTATTTTATAACAATTGAAAACAATAATAGTTTTTAAAAACAAAGATGGCTGCCCTACCCCTGAGTTTCTGATGCAGCGGGTCTGGGGTGGAGCCTGGTAATCTGCATTTCTAAAAAAAAAAGCTTCCAGGCGATGCTGATGTCACTGGACCCAAGGATCTCTAACTCAGAACCACTGACGTGGGGCAATTCCCAGAGAGAGATTCATATTAATGCTCCTGAAAGCTGGAGGAGGGAGTGTCTCAGTCTTGAAGGGAGACATCGGGGAGGGTGTGTCCATGACCAAAACAGAAGAGAGAGAAATTGCAGCGAGTGACGTCCCAGTCTTAAGGCGAAGGGGGGATGGGAGATATGGGAAGCGGGATAATGACTTTTAACCTACCTGTCTCCTTCTCCCACAGAAATGTATGACACACCCACCCTCTCTGTTCATCCCAGGCCTGAGGTGAGCTCAGGAGATAATGTGACCTTCTATTGCCGTCTAGAGACTGCAACAAACATGTTCTTTCTGCTCAAGGAGGGAAGATCCAGCCGCCCACAGCCCAGATACGGGAACACCCAGGTGGGGTTCCCCGTGGGCCCTGTGAGCACAGCCCACAGAGGGACATACAGATGCTTTGGCTCTTATAACAACCACGCCTGGTCTTTCCCCAGTGAGCCTGTGAAGCTCCTGGTCACAGGTGAGGAAGCTCTCAAATTTCCCCCACGTGCTCTTTGGAACCCCGAGTGAACCCCAACCAGAGACGAGGAAGGCAGCTAAGGGACAGGTGGGAAGATTTAGAGTGTCCTCCCACCAATGCCCTCATCCACATGCATTTTCCGGAGGCTCTGTCGATTGTTCCTGAGGAAGAAGGCCAGAGGGATGGGGCGAGGGTACAGAGACCAGGTGGGAAGGCCAGAGGAAACCCCAAACCCTTACTTGCTTTCTTCATTTCCGTTACCAGAAGATGCTGGGGACACCAGCCTTGCACCCACAGAACACACCTCTTTTTCTGGTAAGTAACAAGTACTTGTAAACTTCAAGGAGGGGGGCGCCTGAGTGGCTCAGTCGGTTGAGCATCTGACTTCGGCTCAGGTCATGATCTCACGGTCCGTGAGTTGGAGCCCCGAGTCGGGCTCTGTGCTGACAGCTTGGAGTCTGGAGCCCGTTTCAGATTCTGTGTCTCCCTCTCTCTGCCCCTTTCCCATTCATGCTCTGTCTCTCAAAAACTGAATGAACGTTAAAAAAAAAATGTAAACTTGGAGGAGGGATCAAAGCCTCCCAGTGACAGCACAAACATGGCGTTCACCCAAAATATCCATTGACTGCATAGCACTTGCCGTGACCTGCAGCACCAGCGGTCGAGCAGACAAGCATCCTTGCTTTCATCCCAGCGGGAGACAGACCATAAGTCAAAGTCAGATAAAGAAGCCAATCACATAGCACACGAGGAGCAAACAGTGGTGTGGACGACAGACAAAGAACAAATGGGGTTATAGTGACTTGGGGGGGCGTGGGCAGATGGCAATATTGAATAGAGTTGTCTGAATCAGCCTCACAGAGCAAATATCTGAGAGAGCTGAGGGCATTGGTCCTGTGGCTATGCAGAGAAAGAACATTCCAGAGAGAGGGATCAGCCACTGTGTTTACCCCAAGACAGTGAGATGGCCAGTGGGATGAGGAACGAGAAGCCATGTTGATCGACTTAATGAGGGAACTGAGGCTCAGACTACCCCCTCAGGGTTCACCTGCCCCTTGGCTCTTCCTCTCCACCTGCCAGATGAATCCACGAGGACCAGAAGCATGGGGTGGGGACCTAGAAAGGCTGCAGAGGGCCATGGGGTCCTTCTGAGGGCAGGAGAGGCTAGGACTGAAGGGGTAAGTACCATCTCTCTCTTGCCCCCTTCTTCACTCTCCTTGTCATCCGCAGACTTTTGGGACCCCCACCTGCTAACCACGAACACAGCAGTCCAGCAAGGTAGGCAAGCAGAGGGGGGCTGCAGGCTGTGAAAGAGTGTGATCTGGAAAGGACATGAGGGACAGAGATGAGGTGAGGCGGTGTTTGACAGTGTCCACTTTGTTTTTCTGCCCCCAGACCCTGCCCTCTGGAATCACACTGCCCAGAATCTCCTTCGGATGGGTCTGGCTTTCCTGGTCCTGGTGGTTATTGGGTACCTCCTGACTGAAGGCTGGCTTTGCAGGAAGAGAATACAACAGGAACTTCAAGGAACAGGGCTTCAAGTCAGGAACACAGGAGAAGGTTCAGAACACAGTGACTGCTGGGCAAATGACCAAGGGATGGGCTGGCCACAGGTAGAGCTGAAAGCTGACCTTGACCTTGGGCTGTGTGAGCTCTGTGTTGTGCCCGGGGAGGGGGGTTCACCGCAAGACAGCTGCGTTGGGTTCGGAGAAACTTCCTGGGGGAGGCGGGAGGCAGATGTCAAATTTCTCCCGCAGACAGATTGCACTGTCTCTTCTGGGCTTTAAGCATTTTTGTGCCTGCCTAATGCAAAGCAAAGTTTTAACCTCGCTGGCCTTCCCCAAAAATATCTCCTTCGTTAACAGCATGGCCATGGAGTATTTCTTTCCTACTTTGGTCTTTATCCATATTTCTTCTTTCCTTTGCTGCAACGTGTCATTGAAGACATTTAACAACCAGTACAGAATAAGGATTTATGAGCTGGACCAGTAGCCAGAGAGGCAACTGCTGGCCGACAGAGATGTGGGCTGTGAACAAATGGTCCAGCCATCTGAGTGTGTATCCTGGCTGGGTGTCAGCCTTGCCCCAACTCCTCTGCCCCTACGCCACCACAAGGTTCTGTCTTCTTCACTTCTTTATCCATACTTTGCCTTGTTCCTCAGGGCTCCTCCAGAAAAGTCCCCCAAACCCTCCAGTTTGACTTAAGATATCTCTCCCATGCCCCCAAAGCACCTATTTTTATCTAGAACAGCACTGAGACTGTCACACTGCATACGTATCCATTTTCCTGTCTCTACACTCAACTTGCATGAATTAAGTCCGTGTCAGGTTTGACGGCTGTGCTCACAGCTCCCGCACAAAGAGAGTTCTCAGGAAATGTGCGTCAGATCAATGGATATATAAGTGAGGCTATGGCACAAGCTCAGAACTTGAGATTCCTGATTACGGTCCTTGAAATGCTGTCCAGACCCTTTGTTCCTTGAGAATTTCTACTTGACCAACCCATTAATATAAACATTTTATGGATCCCTGCCCCCCCTCAAGATTCTGACACCTCACATGGGTCAAATCCATTCTCTAAATCTTGAGTTTTCTGTTATATATCAGAGAACTTTATTTCCAACCTCAAAAGGGTAACATGCATATTTAATGAGATAAAGAATATCAAGAAACCCAGCATAGGCTCTGAAACATGTAAGTTAACTCAACATGTGGTAACCCTTATCATTCCCAACTACAGGAGTTGAAAATAGCACCAACTGCTATCTCACTACCAGTGGACAAATATTGAACGTTCTTTATTTTTGTTGTTGTTCCTCATCTGCTGGGTGTGAAGGTCCAAGAATTTCTGTTGATGCTGAATCATAGACTTCATCCCAAGACGTGATGGACTTGAGTGGAGTATGTTTGTGATAGTCCAAATATTTCATATTCTGATGGCAGGAAACCTACAATTTCAAGGGGGGGGGTGTCATGTGTCAGGTGGAAGAATTTTGGGTCTCCAGATATAAATGCAGGGGCTTGAGAGCCTTCTTAGAGGAATGGAGGGCTCTCTTCCACACAAAGCTGTTCTCCCCACTGCTCCAAGGCGAAATCTTCCAAAACTGGTGAACAGCACAAAGCCAAATGGCTAAGTAGAGCATTACTCTTTTTGAAGTGTTAAACCTGGTTTGTATTCCAGACAGAAAAACGAAGCACAAGGAGGAAGGGACAGAGGGAAAGGGGATGTAGTACTGGTGAATTGTGTGTTATGAGGTTTATTGGAAACACTCAAAAACATTTCCATTTATTTCTCAATGGTTAGAGCCTAATAGCTTGCATCCACTTGGGTGCAAGGGAGGTTGGGAAAGATAACCTTTATTCCAGGTGTCTCTGTGACAAGATGAATGCTGGTATTTCTGTGGAGTGAGGAGGCATGTGACAGAGCTGTGACAGGCACCTACAGTCTCTGTTACAAGACCCTACTGTGTGCCGGGCACCGATGAAGGGACCACACATCAAAGCAAACATCCTTGTGAGAAGAGAATTGATTGTCCACAGGTGCTAGATCTTTTTTTTTTTAATTTTTTTTTCAACGTTTATTTATTTTTGGGACAGAGAGAGACAGAGCATGAACGGGGGAGGGGCAGAGAGAGAGGGAGACACAGAATCGGAAACAGGCTCCAGTCTCTGAGCTGACAGCACAGAGTCCAACGCGGGGCTCGAACTCACGGACCGTGAGATCGTGACCTGGCTGAAGTCGGACGCTCAACCGACTGCGCCACCCAGGCGCCCCCACAGGTGCTAGATCTTAAGGAAAGTGGGTAAATGCAGTGAAAGGGGATATGAAGAAATATGGGATGCCAATGGCGCCTCTTTCTGTGCAGAGTTCCAAGACCTAGAGGGGTCCCTGGGTGGCTCAGATGGTTAAGCATCTGACTTCAGCTCAGGTCATGATCTCACGGTTCATGGATTCAAGCCCCACGTCGGGCTCCATGCTGGCAGTGTAGAGCCTGCTTGGGATTCTCTCTCTCTCTCTCTCTCTCTCTCTCTCTCTCTCTCTCTCTGTCTCTCTCGTTCCCTTTGTTTCTGGCCCTCAGCCAGTCGCACTTTCAATCAATCAATCCATCAATCAATAAGTAAATAAATTCAATGACATAGAGACATTGAACAAGGTGTATAGATGAGGAAAGGATTATTCAGGAGAAAACAAAACCACGGAGAAACAGACAACAGAAAAGTTGAGAATATCACCTCTTTCTGGGCTTGACAACCAGGAAGATGACTAAAACAAATCCTGGTAACCCAGAGAGAGGCCCAGCGATGGGTGATGGGTACTGGTCCTAAGATGGTTAATATTCGGCACTTTTGGTATTTCTTGGGATGGCCTAGGTTATTCTGGGCCCTTTAGGTTCCAATATTAACTTTAGGATGCCGGCTTTCACAAAAGAACAGCCCGGGGTTGTGCGTGAGATTGTACTAAAGCTACAGATCAATTGAGGGAGAATTATCATCTCTTCAGTCTTCCAATCCGTGCAAGCCCGAACCCTAAATATGTTATATTTTGCCCTGTACTTACAGGTTCCCTGATTTCTCTGAATAATATCATGTAGTCCTCTAGGTACAGAATGTGCACATCTTCTGTTAGATATCCACCAGATTATGTGCTTGGCTATATCGCCTCCAGATCCCCTAGTTACATGACTTTTATTTTGTAAGCGGTATAATTCTTTAAATAATCTTGCCAACATTGCTGCTGGTACTATAATATTTCATGAAAACACAGGTGTTTCTTCCTTTTTCTTGTCTTTCATATGTATCATATTTTACTATAGAATGTTTTAGTGTTTCTATCTTTAATATCTGGAAGAAAACATATTTCAAGGATGATATGATGAGTAAATGTGTTAACAGCTTAAATAAATAGCCATAGCACTGCTAGGAATTTACCCAAGGGATACAGGAGTGCTGATGCGTAGGGGCACTTGTACCCCAATGTTTACAGCAGCACTTTGAACAATAGCCAAATTATGGAAAGAGCCTAAATGTCCATCCACTGACAAATGAATAAAGATGTGGTTTATATATACAATGGGATACTACTTGGCAATGAGAAGAATGAAATATGGCCATTTGCAGCAACGTGGATGGAACTGGAGAGTGTTATGCTAAGTGAAATAAGTCATACAGAGAAATACAGATACCATATGTTTTCTCTTTTGTGGATCCTGAGAAACTTTAACAGAAGACCATGGGGGAGGGGAAGGAGGGAAGAAACAGTTACAGAGAGGGAAGGAGGCAAACCATAAGAGACCCTTAAATACTGAGAACGAGATGAGGGTTGATGGGGGGCGGGGGAGAGGGGAAAGAGGGTGATGGGCATTGAGGAGGTCACCTGTTGGCATGAGCACTGGGTGTTGTATGGAAACCAATATGACAATAAATTATATTTTAAAAGATGGGGAATGATGAAAAAAATAAATTAATAAAACCTGGGTTCCTAAGCCAAGCTATGTCCTCTCTGTTTCCACCTTCCATTTGCCAAAAGGAAAAACAGTATCTCCTTGTTAGCAATGTCATCAGGACGTGGTGCCACCCCAGGGATACGTCAGTCCCCCCGGGGCCCAACTATTCCAACCCTGAGTTAGGAATGAGAGCTCAAGCTTCAGAACACAGACGGTTACGTGGGGAAGCATCCACCCCCTCTACTCTTACTGGCCCGTGGCTCTAAAGACCAGCGCTCTGCTTAGCCTCTCGCACTCAGGTGTCAACCCTCTGAGATCTGGTTTCTCCACCCCCACACTTCCGCTGAAGCTGTTGTTGTGAAGAAAAAACCAAAAACGCTCTTGGGCCTTCTGGAACTTGCGGTGGATGCCTCTCAGCTCACCTTTGCTCCTCTGCCAGTTGTATGACCAGTTCCTCCTTGAAACAGTCACTTCACTGACCTCTTCTGCTCATTTTTCTGACCGTCCGACACCATCGTGTTTACAGGATCTCCACCCCCAGGGCTTGTGGGTTCCACGGTAGACCCGCCTTTCTCTGCACACAAGTATGGATGGATCTCACTTAATGCCACGGTTTCAGTTTCTCTAAGACAGATGCCCAAATCGAATCCGTCTCTCTGAACCCCATTTTTTTTGGCGCGGGAGGGGGGGGGAACTTTGGGTTATTTTATCGGCATCTTCTAACCAACCTGGAGTCATCATTTTCCTACCACCAAAGTTGTTCTAATTTGGAAAAACCCCAGCTGTGTTCACAGTCGCTTTTCTTTCTTTTTTTTTTTTAATTTTTATTTATTTTGATAAAGAGAGCATGAGCGGGGGAGCAGCAGAGAGAGAGGGAGACACAGAATCGGGAAGCAGGCTGGAGGCTCTGAGCTGTCAGCACAGAGCCCAAGGCGGGGCTCAAACCCGCGGACCGCGAGCTCGTGACCTGAGCTGAAGTCAGACGCTCAACCGACTGAGCCACCCAGGGGCCCCAGTGCACAGTCGCTTTTCTATACCTATGCTTGTGCCCTGCTCACTGCCGAAAGAAGTGCTACACAAATCAGCAGGTAATGATACATTTATGATTCATGAGTTTATTGGTGGAGATATATAGACTTCTATTATTTCTCCTAACAACTGTCCTTTCTGACAGTCAGTTTGCCTTTTGGAATTCTGATCCGGTAAAGAGCTCTTACACATAAATATTTTTAAAAGATTGCCTTA